CTTTGCACTCCAACCCCCATGGCTATCCCTGAACAATGGCCCTAGCCAGGAGCCAGGTGCGCCATGTGGTGGGGACCGAGGGGTCTTCAGCCTCCCCTAATTTTTCAAGGAGGGGGCTGGGTTCCCCACAAATCATGTGGCCCTGCCCGATGTCATGCAGGGAGGAGGCCAAGCGCTGGCATTGCGGCAGCGGCATACCTGCATGTCCTGGCCCAGTGCTAGGTGGGGACGATGACGTGTCATGTGACATGTAACATGATGCGTCATGTGATGTGCCCCCGCAATGTGGGGGGGCGATGTCAGCGCCCTTGCCAGGAGCCCTGGGAACTGTAACCTTCCCAGTGCTACTGGCGTGTGTTAATAGCAATGAGAAAGCCACAACACTTAGTGTTACAGTGGTACCTCGCAAGACGAATGCCTCGCAAGACAAAAAACTTGCAAGACGAAAGGGTTTTTGGTTTTTTGAGTTGCTTCGCAAGACGATTTTCCCTATGGGCTTGCTTCGCAAGACGGAAACGTCTTGCAAGTTTGTTTCCTTTTTCTTAACACCATTAATACAGTTGCGACTTGACTTCGAGGAGCAACTCATAGCACGCGGTGTGGTAGCCTTTTTTGAGGTTTTTGAAGACTTTGGTGATTTTTGAAGCTTTTCCAAAACTTTTCCGAAACCGTGCTTCGCAAGACGAAAAAAATAGCAAGACGAAAAAACTCGCGGAATGAATTAATTTCGTCTTGCGAGGCACCACTGTACTTGAACACAGCGTGCCAGGAGAACAAAAGCAGCAAGAGAGGCATGCGTGGCTCTTTGGTAGGAGGCAGGTGAGTGGGTGAAAGTGAGGGCTGTTGGGACTTCCAAAGACAGGTTGCAGGAGGGATTGGATGACACCATGCTCTCAAGGAAATCTTAGGGGGAACCCCAGTATCTAAAACAGCTTTGAATTGACTTTCGGGTTGTCGGGGAGAATGAGCTACTTTCTGATTATTGTGCTCCTCTCCCCTCAAGCCTGACTAGGGGAAGGTCACCCATCACTGAAGTTAAAGCCTTAGCAATGGAGGAGGGTAAGCAGGAGTGACAGGGTTTTAATGAAGAGCTGAAAACTGCCAAGGTCCACAGATGCAACAGCACAGACAGATCACCAGGGAATGGAATGAGCACTGTCAGAACCCAAAGCATGTTCTGCAGTGCTTTTTGCATGCCATTATCGCTTGACTCTTAAGAATGCAGGGGAACTTCAAGCCAAGGGGCCCAACACAGCTCTCTGGGCCTCTCTATCCAGCTGTTGGGACTTCTTCTCTGGAGACTTCACCTCTCACCAGCCTTGTTCTGCATAAGGAATGCCAGGAGGCAGCGAATTTTGTCCTGTCAACGCTGTTTCCATTCAGCTGCAGTTCAGTTTCTTTCCACTGAAACTTTGTGCTACCTGCTATGGTTGAAACAAACACAAATTAATTACGTCATTAGTTACAGTGCATTTCAATGGGGAGGAAATGTTAAAAAAAAATTCAGAAAACAACATAATTATTTATGTGAAGTTTGTGGATTAAAATAACAACAATGGTGTATGCTGCTCATATTTGCTTGCATGATTTGCATTCTGGACTTTGGACAAACATTCAAATTGTAGCAATTTCGGTTCCCATTTCCATTTCTGCTGGAATTCTCTGACATCCCTACTCTGCTCTCTCTTCAAGTGATTTTGCCTGGAAGGAATAGGCCTCCCCTCTTGCCTGGTTGGTGAGATTTGTGTGTGTGTAGAAAGCTCTGACTCCTGCATAGCTGAAATGTAGACTTTTATGCAAAACTAAGAATCACATATGTCACCCCACCCACTTTATTCCTCTGTCCCCAGCCTCTACTGGCATGTGGCCCCCAGAAGTTTACACATAAAAGAATGTGGCCCTCAGGCTGAAAAAGCCCCTCCCCTGTTTTAAAACAACTTGTGCTTTCTTCATTTGATGTCTCACCCATGTGAATATGATTTGGGGCAACTGGATTCCTATTTGATCATGAAAGGATCTCTAAAAATTTGTGTAACAGGGAAAATTTGTCCCAACTACAGCTTGGTCCATTATTTGGGTAGGTGAGATTGATTGATTGATTGATTGATTGATTGATGGGGGAAGGGAGTACATGGCATGTCTTGTATATGTTTGATTGGATTATTTTACTTTAAATCGAGTCACTAAGCAAAATCATTTTGGTGTTGTTGTTTTTTAAAAACCACACACACACGAAACAAAACACCATGTGGGATTAGATTGGATTGTTTGCTAGAACATTAAACAGGCATTGTGCATGCTTCGCTGAAGATGTGCCTTGAGAGGCCATGAAACCCTGCCCAGCCTTTTCCGGACGGAGCCATAGGAAGGACACCCACGCCTCTTTGTGGCTTGGTCTCGGTCATGTTCCACTCAGCCGGGCAACCAGCATACTGCAGGGCGTGGCTGGCCTCACATGTGCCCAGGGGGGCGGGATAGCTCTCGCTTTTAATTGTAGAGGCCACAAAGACAGACGGGACTCTCAGCTTTCCACAAGGGCAGCTCAAGGTGCCAAGGATCTGTTCCCAACTATTGAGCCGTGATGCCAGCCTCTTTTTTGTAAAGCAGCTTTCAGGTGGTCTCAAGGAGATCATTGCTTATCAATGCATTTACCGATTCTTATCAGGGCAATACTTATTTACTTATTTTATTTATTCACCAGTTTTCTCTCCTGCCCAAAGGGGCGCAGAATGACAAACAGCCAAAACCAAAGACATAATATTTGCAGCGTTTAAAACCATTTTAAAACCAACTAAAACATTTCAAAACAGTTTAAAGACATATCGAAACATTTAAGACATTTAAAATAGTGAGCAATGGGGGGGGGGTTGAAGAATAATAAAATTATAGAATCACAGAATCATAGAGTTGGAAGGCATCTGAAGGTCTAGTCTAACCCCCCTGGAATGCATGGAACTCAATTAAAGAATCTCATCTGCTTAAAAATTTCAAATGAAGGAGAGTCTACAAGCTTCATGGGGATGAGAAAAGCTCCTGCCTCAAACCCTGGAGTGATGCTGCCAGTCAGTGTTGACAGTACTAATCTAGATGGACCAATGGTCTGACTCAGTATAAGGCAGCTTCCTAAGTTCCTTCAATTCTGTGCCATATGTACCAGAACCATCAATTGACGAATTATCAAAGTATTTCAAGTACCTTGGCCTTCTTGGTACGTAGGAACCTGCTGGATCAAACCAAAAGCCGCCAATCCTCTTTCCTGCACCATGTTTCCAGGAAATCCACAAATCTGATGGTTTAGCCATCTAGCTCATTACTGTCTACTTTGACAGGCAGCAGCTCTCCAGAATTTTAGGAAGGAGGTTTTTCTCCTCACATACTAGGAGGAAAGGAATGGGGGAGAGGACCTTTTCTATAATGACTCCATGCCTCTGGAATTCATTGGCAGTGGGGATCATTACAGGGCTTTAAGAGTGCCTTAAATACTCTTTTGCTTCACTCTGTTTTTCCATGAGTTTGGTTTTCTGTTGTTGCTTTGCAGTATAGCTGATGGTGCCATATTGTATTTTGTACTCGGCTTTTTGTAGTCTTGGGACTGGAGGAAAATTTTAAAACTGCACGCCTTTATAATGCCCTGTTCTGTGTAATAAAAAATATTTATACTATATAAGAATACTAAATAACTGACTGGCAGAATATTTAGCAGCCCTTTCCAAATACTGAAGCATACACACAACCACTTTCCATTTGAAATCTTCCAATTCCATAAATATATGCAGCCTGTTCCTTGACCTGAGCTTTTTTGTTCCTTCTTCGCAAACTCTGTCTGTCAATCTCTTCCCTGGCCCGTTCTTTCTTCTTAAATAAAGCTGTTCTTTTGACATTATTGAGTTGCTCTCATAATTTCCTTAAAAATCCATTCTCTTTGGCCTTTGGGTTTTTTTGCCCAAGCTCTCATGTACAATATGCTGGCTATTGTTATAATATAGAAAACTTGAGTTTGATTTCTTGGTTTTATATGACCTTTTATATATCTCAATAAAAAGAACAAAAGATCCAGTGGAAACTGATATGCAAAAATATCTTTCAGTTGGGTTACCACCATCCATCAGGAGTTTTAATTATTGCAGGAGTTTATTGTGTATTTTGAGATTGTGACTGCATTGTATTTTGCCTTGTGAGTTTTCTTGGGAGGGCATAAAATGCTGAAAAAGAATTTTGAATAAATAAATAAACCTGTCTCAGATGCTGTCCTGAGCCATCCACTAGCAGACACTCCAAGTGTCCCTATTTTACAGGGATGTCTCTGATTTAGAGATGCCGTCCCAGTTTCTGATTTGATCCTAGAATGCCCCTCTTTTCCTTAGGACGTCCCTATTTTCACTGGAGAAATATTGGAGGGTATGGGGTTTATTATTATTATTATGGTTTTTTATGTGTTAGAAGCTAGCTAGAGTGTCTGGGGCAACCCAGTAACATGTGTTAGGTATAAACAGTAAAATTATCATTACGGAATGGGATTTCCCTATTTTCATTGGAGAAATGTTGGAGGGTATGAACTAGTGCCATGAATTCTATAAATAAATTGCATGTAGCATGGAACATTTCCCTTTTGTCAGACTCCAATCTAGTCAGCTTCTTTGGGTGACTAGCTCCTGGTTTTAGTGCTGTGGCAGGAGTAGAGAACCTTTGACCTTCCAGGTGATGCTAAACTACAACTCCCATCAGCCCTTGCAAGTATGGTCAGTGGTCATGAATGAATGAGAGCCAAAGGTTCCCCATACCTGTGTTCTAGGAAGAGAAGCATGTTTGGAATTCTCTTTTGGAATTCAATGCCATTTTGTTCAGCCACTTTTAAAAATATTTTGTGGGAAGGGGTTGAGCAGAAACCTCAACAGCTAAAGAATGGAGCTTCCACACATATTTCATATGCAGGAGAAAGGAGATGGTTCTACATATACCACTACAACAGGCCAGAGCTAATTTCTTTTCATCCCCTGCAGCTGCCTGCAAAGAGAGCAAGCGTCCCCTGGAAGTTTCCCAGCACTCGGAGGAAATGGGCCTCATCCTGGGCATTTGCGCCGGAGGACTGGTGGTGCTGATCATCCTCCTGGGGGCCATCATTGTCGTCATACGGAAAGGGTAAGGAAATGTTTTCCCATTCTGCCTTCACCATTGCTGCTTCTCTGGTCGCAAAGCTCAATTCACCTCGTTTGGAGCCCAGCAGTCTTGCTCTGGCGGATGAAGAGAAACGTCTTGGAGGAAGGAGATGCAGGAAGGGCATCAGCAGTAGCCAGTCAGAGTCTCAGGCCACTCACCTGTGCCCCTCCCTCCCTTATCCTAGTGAGCCTTTGTTCTAACCTAGAGGAATCTTCCTCCTTCCTCTAGGCCCTGTAACCGGGGATCTTTGGGTGAGGGGGCACAAAACAATCAGGGGATCATGGCAGATCAGACAGGACAGACATGCAAGAAGCCTAATAGCAGGTGTGGACAGTCACACCTCAGCCTAATTTCAAAGGCCCCCTGAAAGCGATCAGTTCTGAAAGGGGCAATTTGTCTTTCCTCAACAGCCCACCCACTGCCAGCATTCTGCACCCATCAGAATTGCGCTAAGGGAATGCAGCCCTGGACAGAAAAAAAAGAGGTCACCCACCCACCATATGTCTTTTAGGGTGTCATGGGTCCTATGTTCATTTTGCTAGGCAGGACTCACTCAGTAGAGCATGAGATTCTTGATCTCAAGGTCGTGGGTTTGAGCCCCACATTGGGCAAAAGATTTCTGCATTGCAAGGGACTTGATGTCTCTTGTGGTTCCTTCCAATTCTATGTTTCTAAACTGGTTTCAGCAAGGATTAAGGATGAATTTATCATCATGGACTGCATGCAATAACCAAAAGCAAACCTTTAACATCCAGTGGCTAGAAGCTGGGCATTAATGTTTAACAAAAACAACAACAGGCAACTATTTATATTAAACACATTTCAAACTGCTTTATATTTCGAAAATGTCTCAGCAGTGTACAGTCTAAAACGATCTATTTCATTTAAAGTTGTACATTGCCCTGGTATATGATCTGGCAGTATAGAAATACTGTTACGAATGAGCTGAAACAAAAACACAAGCTGAAAACAGTAAAGCAACAGCATGGAACATAAAAGCATCTAAAAGTGAATAAAACAGAATACCAGAGGATTCAAAAACTTGAAGCAGGATGGGTCAGGGGAAACCTGTGCAAAAAGACAAGGTTTGAAGCAACTGGTGGTTACTGCTTCATGTATGGCAGAGGGGAGGGTATTCCACAGCACGGGTGTGGCAAGGATCACCAGCCTTAATATTCTGTAGGGTGCAGAGGTGCAAGTAGAATTTCCCCTTGTCACACACCTGATATTTGTCACCTTCATTGTTATCATTATATTTTTCTTTGTTATTCGTATTTTATTTTGGGGGAAAAAGAAATAATCAGGAAAGAAGAACACAAGTAGAATCTCCCCATATATTCTATGCGATATTAGAGGTCTGTGGAGGGACAGGTAATCTTTCAGGTAACCTGGTCCAGAGTGGTACATGGCGTATTATGTTAACAAGGCCGAGGTCTGAATCCCAACTTGCCTATTCAGAGGAATCTAAGCTGGGTTCAAGCAGCCACAGATCACTACAGGTTGGGGTTGAGGGCCCAGAGCTATCTGAGGTTGCCAAGGGATGGGGCTTTGGGCAGTGAGGAGAGGCTGGTGCGAGGGAGTTGCTGAGAAACTGTGAAAAAGAGAGATCTATTGGGTGGCTGCATCTTTGTGGGAGAAGATGGGGGTGGCTTTCCCACCTGGCTTTTCATTCTCCCCAATTCCAGGCCTCAGCTCTTTCCTGTTCCGTCCTGGTCCCTTAAGGATCTGATCCTGCGTGATTGTGTTCCTTCCTGAGTGGCTTCCCTTGCATGCAGAGAAGCTGTTCTCTCTCTCTCTTTTTAAAAAATGTTTTTATTGGTTTTTTCACATTTTTATACATTTTAACTTAACCATCTCAAACATTAACACAACAAGGTTCTTTTGAACCTTCAGACCTCCTTCCCTCCCTCCATGGGTTCCATAGTCAAGATTGAATTTACTGCATCTTTTACTGTTATCCATCTGTTATATATCCATAATTATCATGGTTAATTCCACATTACATCCCAGCCAATGATTTTAATTGTTTACAGTGGTCTTTTAAATAAATTAAAAGTTTACTCCAGTCTTTTTAAAAATACTTGATCTTCCTGATTTCCGCATCTTCCCCATCAGTTTTCGCCATCTCCATATACTCCATCAGTTTCATCTGCCATTCTTCTTTATTGGTACTTCTCCTTCCTTCCATCTCTGGGCTGCCATCGTTGCATACATAAAAAGTTGTTTATCCTCTTTTGGTATCTCTTCACCTATTAAACCTAACAGAAAAGCTTTTGGTTTTTAAAACAAATTTCTTTCTAAACATTTTCTTTAATTCATTATATATCGGGGAAGCTGTTCTCAAAGGAGCAGCCCCATGCAAGATAGATCCTCTTGCTTAACAGCTGTGAAGCATAAGGGTCTGATCCCGCACAGTGTTCTTGCACCCCAAATGCACTTACAAAACTCTTTTTGAAAACTCTTAGCCCCACTCCTGAACTGGACAGGGTGGTTGGCTCCTTGTTTGGCACAGGGTGACTAGGCCACAGTGTGGGATCTCGTGGTGGAGGCTGGGCTACAAATGCCAGTCAGTCAATCAGTCACTTTATCCAGAAGTTTAGAACTGTGGGCAGCAGAGAGAGAGAGACCTGTGTGAGCTTTTTTGCTTGGTCCCAGCAGAGCGGTCCTCAGCATAGCTTCCAGTGGCAACACCATGCCGCTGTCATTGCTACAACCCAGGTTGCTAATGGGCTGGACAGCTCCTCAGCACAGATCCCGCAGAGTCCTCTGAGCTTCAGAGCTAAGGCTGGCAGGGGGCAAGGAAGCAGGTCAGCAATGCCTGCTTTGTGTTCCGTCTATATTTCATGAGTTCCCATTCTGCCTGGGTAGGCACGATCCCTCTGCCCTTTCAGGAACATTAAGTCCCCGACAAAGGAGTTGGTTTTCCCCCAAGCAGCCCACCGGGGAATGACAAGAGTCAGCAAGGCGCAACAGGTCAGGCCAGCAGGAATCGCAGAGGTTGGACGGAGTCACACGCTCATGAGTCTCTGGTGGATTGGCTGCATGCTATCCACCTCACGCATCTTCTGCCTTTGCACTGCATGCTGCTCACTGCCTGACAGTCCGTGGCTTGGAAGCGGATCGAATTGGGGGCCACCGTGAAACTTTCTGCCTTCAAAACAAAGTTGGGCGTCTTCCAGGGAAGGAAAAAGTGGGGGGTGGGGGGTGGGGAGAGAATCTGGATTGGAGTCCTGAGCTAAAGATCACATGAATGCCCAGAGGCAGGATTTGTGATATTCTCACAACCCTCATCCTTCTGTATAAACATACATGCTGGCTTGAATTAACCCATAGCTGCTTCTTTGTGTTACACTTTCCCCTTCCAGACTGGTGTTTAATCGCAGGTATATTCTGCAACATGTTATCGATGCAATAATAGTGCATTATTAGTGCAATAGTGGAATAGTGTTGGATCTATTCTGCTTTAGTTCTTTGTTTTGTTTTTTAAAATACACATTTTCCAAATTTAATAATAATAATAATAATAATTTTTATTTGTATCCCGCCCTCCCCAGACAGAACTCAGAGCTGCTAACATCATATAAATAATACAATATGAATAAAAACAAGCAATCAATCGATTAAAATGCATCCCAAAATTAAGTCAAATAAATTAAATTTAAAGTTAAAACTGGACAAATGACAGTCCTCAGGTTTAAATATTATACACATCTTACAGTTCTTTTTTTAATCACCTCATTTAGTCGCCCCCCCCCCCGTGATGCTTCCCCAATGATACCGCATTATTGCTGTCCAACAGCAACAACCACAAAATAAATAAACCAGAACATTTGTGGTATAAGATATAACAGCATGTGCACTGAGTGGAAATGGAGCAGTGTGACTGCCCCGAAACCTTCGCAGGAACAAACAGTATTGAAAATGGGATTGCATGTGACCACCCTGGTGAACGCAAATAATAATGAATGCACCATAGAAAAGGATGTCTGAATGCAGCCTAAGCCCTGATGACACCATACATTGAAAGTCATGGCTTCTGCCCAAGAATTCTGGGAACTCTAGTGTGCTAAGGCCCATATTCCCTGCACAGAGCTACAATTCCCAAAGTTTCCAGTGAAGAGGGATTGATTGTTCAACCACTTTAGAATTTGTAGCTCTGGGAGGGGAATGGGGTCTCCTAACAACTCCCAGCATCCTTAACAAACTACACTTCCCAGGGTGCTTTGGGAGAAGCCATGATTGTTTTAAGTGGTATTCTAGTGCTTTCAATGTATGGTGTGAATGTCTAGCATAGGAATGTCTTGAGAAAAATGGGGGAAACAGAGTTACTTGTTGGTAGTTGGTGTTGAAGGTGGCTTCTGACTAATGCTGCAGTCAGATTACAGTCTTACAGAAGGGCACAAATCCTGGATGTCATTTAATTTATCCTGGCAAAGAACAATCAAGTCCTGTTAATGTGCTGGGATGTTCTGCCAACTTGTTAAGCATTTTTTTGCGCCCATCTTTCAGATTCCAGAACCGTGCCGCTATTTGACTGTAACATAAATGGCTCTGCAAAGGATGACATGCCAAGCAGCGTTGAGCTTAAAGAATTCAGTGTCTGAAGTGGATTTGTTTAACCTTGTGCGACAGGGAGGGGGAAGAGGAGGGAGGTCTGTCTTCTTTCACCTGGGCTCTGTGCCGTGCCAGCTCATGCAGCGTCTTGGCAGACATGAAATGCCAGCTCCGTAGGGTTCCTCATATCAGTTGAGGGGCCCTCATATCAACCGAGGAGAGCTTCAGTTCATTTTAGGATTTCTTTTTAATATTAGTTATGTAAGGCTATGCACACATTAGCGGCTTAAAGCACAGTTTCCCTGCCGCTGCTATTCAAGTTGCATTTGCACATTGCAGTACATGCCAGAGAGTGAGTCTTCATCCAATGTGTGTCCTGTCTCCCCGCCCCCAATAATTTTTTATTATTTTCTCAACACAGTTTCATA